TGTCTCATACACAAAGCTATATTCCTACATGGATTGTCTAGTGTGGGATTCTTTACTTTCCACCTACTGACACATGAACTGGGGCGTGAAGCACATGATGCCTTGCCCATGGACATGGGAAGTATGGCTGCAGTAGTTTGATTCCCTTAGTTCATGGTCACAAAACCCCATTTCTTCTCTTGCAACTTGATTCCAAATCCACTGAAGACAACACAAACCCAATCCATGCTGCTCAGCACAATTTGGATTATCCTTCATATTATTCCTGCTTGGATCCCCTCGTTCTGCTCCAGCAAACTGCCCTGGGAATTGGCAGGAAAGTTCTCTGCAGCAAAGGCAGCAGGATCTGACTCCCCCCTCAGCTTGCAGTGTCCCCATGTCATTCCAAGGCAACACACCACCAGCACGGAGAGGAAGAGAAGAGATCCAAGGCTGGGAGCTGCCCCTCCAAACCTGGATTCCAACGACAGGCACAGGTTCTGCTGCCACTCCAGTGCTCCCTGACCTTCCCCTCCGCACAGAGCTTTCCCTGACCCAGAATTTCCGTGTGCTGTACATTCAGCTCACACAATGGGCACTTTCATTGCTGTGAGCAGAGGGCAAGTCATGGGATCAGAGTCGCCATTGTGGGCAGCCCCTGAGTGTGGGCAGGAATGAAGCGAGGCTGGCAAAAGCAGCAGCATTTTGGGCAGAAGACAGAGAAAAGGGCATTACTGTCTGAGAGCAGGGAGCAGCACCCACCTCAGGGAGCTGCCAAAGTCAGTGAGCACTGCTGGACACTCCCCAAATTGTTTACCCTTCTAACAGACCAGGGAAAAGCTTCCGAGGGAGAACAGTCTCCACAGACAGAGCAGCACTCCGAGAGACACTGGAAATCAGGTCTGCTCAGGAGAGTGGGAAAGGAAACCACACATCCTTCCCATCTTTGCTCAGTCCCACCAGTGATACGGGGTGCAGATGCCTGGACTATAATTAGTAGATCCCACTGATTCCCCCAAGAAGGCAGGCTGAACGACACTGCAGCATGATGGGAAGCAAATTATTTTGTTCCTTCCCTACCTCATACCTCACACCTGAGCATCTGTTTTTTTGGTGCCGCAGAAATCTCCCCAGGGTCCCAGCAGCCAGGGAGTTCTGGCAGAGGAAGCAAACAAAATAAAGGATCTGTTTGCAGGGAAGTATTACAAGGAAGGGAGAACAGTGAAAATTCTAAAATCTGTAGTTGTGTCTGTTACCGAGTGGAATTGTTTTCCATTGTTTTCAAAGAGACAGCAGCTTCTATTCTCTGTGAAGAAGTTAATAGATTACTGGGCAGTGAATAATGTGCAGTTCTATTTACATCCACTGTTTGGACTATTTTGGTCCCTCAGATAGTGTATCTGTTCTCAGGTCTTTCTAAAAGCAGCATGCTACACTTTTTTTGCAAGCAATTCTGGGCAGCAGCTACAACCCATATGCTTCAGTCAGCTACAAACTAGACAGATCATTGTTTGTCTGGATTTTTTTATTAAACCAATTGTACTGGATCAATGCTTCCTCTAAGCAATAAATTACAATTCTATCTACCCAGTGAAAAAGCTTTCAAAGTCACAGATAAATGTTGATCTAGGAAATCCAGTTTGGCTCTGCACCGATGTGCGATCAACCACAGATGCAAACAAACTCCAGCAGCCAGTACACACATCCATGCACCTCAGAAGAGGAGCCAGTACTCTGATTTTCATTAGTAATTGCTAAGACACCTTTTAAGAGCTTCTAGAACCAGCCCACTGCATTAGTCAGGAGTACTCAGGGGCACTGAGCTTGGTTTTTATAAAGGTCATTTGATGTCTTTTCCCCTCACAATGGACTAAAAGCAGAGATCAACAGAGCCTGAATCTATATTAATCTGCTTTACTCTTGGAGGGTCATAGATTTGCCACTGGAATTAGCCATATTAGATGCTAAAATGATAATTTAATGAGACAATGATGAAAGCCTCTGTTCTATTCTAAATCAGGAACTCCTCTCGCATAGCGCAAGGAGAAGCAACTCCATGAAGTCAGAGAATTACACCAATGTCATTTTGCAGCAGTAAATTGGGCTGGAGTGTTCCATGCAAAACTTCCCATCTCAAGCTGTACTGAGACAGGAGTCACGAGGTCTGGAGCTCCACCAAAATGCCTGGAGATGCACCTCTCTCTCTCTCAGAGGGGAAACTGGTTCCTCCAAAAAGATAGAAAGCAAGCTCAGGGTCTAAATAATTATTAACTTGAAACGGTAGCCCAAATGCTGCTGCACAGCTTTGGTGATAGCAAAAGTGCAGGATAATGGAGCCTCGTTCCTCCATGATCCTTCCTCCTGCTCGGGGATCTGCACCCATCTACAGCACAGAGCAACCGGGCATTGCACTGCGTAATTCCCAAGGCACAGAACACACTCCTTTGGGTCAAGGATATTGCAAATATTTTGGTAATATCTGCTCTTTGGTGCAGTCTGCTGCATTCCAGAGGTCAAAAAATGCTATTCATATTCATGTGAGTTGTTTCCAAGACAGATGCTTTCGTAGAGGGAAAGAAGGAATACAAAGCCCGAGCAGAATCTGGAAGGCTCCCACTCCTCTCCTTCAAGGCAGCCACTGTTCACAGAACATTTTCCGTGGAAGCCCGCGCCTGGTCTCTAAGCAGCATCCGTATTCCAACAGACGTGCTGCAGGTGACCTAGGGACAGGGGTGAGCAAAGTTCCCCTGAAAATATCCCTCCTGACCAGACAGTGGTGCCTCCGGCTCCTCCTGGCCTTGTGCACCCTCAGTGCCACTGCCCCATCCGAGGCTGGCAGGTGACAGCAGGGACACAGCCCATGCTGGTGTGCTGGGCTTCCACACCGCTTCAGAAGAAACACAAGGCAGGGAGGAATCAGCCCACCTGGAATCTGCCCCCAAGCAGGTCTTGCCCCAGGGTGCAGACACCCAACTCACTGTGCCTTCTCTGCACAAATTCCCAGCTATGTCAGGGCAGGATTATGTTCTAATATCAAGAGTCATCCATGCATTCACAGAGATCTGCATGCACACAACAGCTCAGTGCTCGGTGGGATCATCTGGCTGGGGGGAGTTGGAGCTTGCCAGCATATTTCATTCCTTTGTGCAAGGCAAGGAGTGGCCAAGGGCCTCAGAAATAACAACTTACCTCATCATTTTAACGAATAAGCACTGGTTCAGTAGGAATCTTAAAACAAAAAAACCTCTCAGGACCATCTCACCTTGGGCAAGGTGGTTACCTCAGCTACTGCTGCTCAAGTTTGCCAGGCTGGCTCTATGCTAATAGAGTCATAAAGGTGGAAGGGAATAAACCCACGATACAGAGACACAAAGATATGCAAACTGAATGCTGCTTTTGCATATATCCAAATGCCATCCAGAGACTAAATCCAAAATTCCTTGAGGGTGTGACATACAGAGAACACCTTGCTAAAATAACCCAAGAAAGCACAGTTTTTAACTCCAGACTCGTGGCAAACAGTGCAAAGATCTACAGCCAAGAGTATGAATGAGGTTTTGCTCTCTTTAAAGCTGTTCACTCTCACATTTCAGTGGCTGTGAGCTATTACTCCATCAGTCACAACTGGGAGGCTATTTTATAGTCCTTCCAGTCTGGGATTGGGTAGGATTGTGCTTGCAAGCTCTGTGTATAATGCTGTAGCTACTGGAAGCCCTCAAAAAGCTCACTCAGCTGTGTGCTTGGGACACTTGAATGCACTGAATTTAAATGACAGTGCAGTCTTCCAACTCACATAGCCTTCTAATAACATTTGTTAATCCAAGCAAATATCAAGGAATCTGGTCAGTGCCAGTGCTGAATGTGCTCAGCGTGTGGGCTACTTGCTAAATCCCTGATAGGCAGTGTCAAGAGGTTTCTGACACTGCTTTTGGGCACCCAAATCCACCCTGGAACTCCCTCCTGCAATTATCTTGCTAATTGTATTTTAGGGAATATTCCAAGGTTTCTTGAAGAGTCCAAGAATTCAATAAAATCATGTAGTGTGACAGATCTGTGTTTGAATAATGTTCTTCTACCATAAGGTTTAAATGTGAGATGTAAGCCTGTTGTAATTAAAGTTGAAGCAATAAACCTTAGCCATTGATTGCACTAAGTAATTAATTATTGATTGCAGTACTTTACATACATATTGCAGAGGACAATTCACCTGTGCAGTAGACGAGACGATACTTTGCTCAGAAATACCCAAACACAACCCCTCTGCTGTGCAGAACTACACAAAAACCGGCTCTAGGGTTTACAAGTTAATTTCCTTATTAACCTCCAAGGAAATGTTGCCATTACTTTCATAAAGCCAGTGTTAACTATTCCCTATCTGAATTACTTTTGGAAATAAGGACGTACAGATGCAAAAGAGAGGATCTTTCTCCGTAAGACCCTGAAGGTGTTAAGTTCCTTCTCAATGAATGCTGCCATCCCCTGCACATACCAATTCCTGACAAGCCATGCTGCAGTAAGACACTGTGAGGAGCAGCAACAGTAGCAAGCAACATCCTTCCTCTGAGTCTTGGGAAAGCAGAAGGGAGAGAGGACTCTGAGGTGTGAAAATGGGAAGCGTTAGTCAGGCAGAGCACACATTCTGAACTGGGCATGTAGGACTAGTTAAGCAGCAGACACCACACTTCTAGGCTGGAGTTGTGCATCAGGTGGGAACATTTCTCCCCATTTACACTGAACTTAAGGAAAGCCTTTCCCTTACAATAAGCCAAAGCAAGAGACATTTTTTGGTATAAAAACACAATTTAAAAATAATAATAGTGTGGGGACACTAAAATTAAGGTTAAATGTAAATGAAACCTGCAGATTGTTTGAGTGGAGCAGATCTTGGATGTGTCCTCCGGCTTCCCTGACTAGGAGATGAGCAAGGAAAGTTCTGCTGGGGTGGGTGCACGGTGCAGGAGGTCATGTGGGAAGGGGCAGGCCAGCTGGTTTGGAGTGGATCAGGAAGGGGGGAATTGTACCTGAAGTCGCTGTAGGGGTGGATGATCCAGAACCCGGCAGATTTAACCCTCTCCTGCTCCCTCTCCACGGCCTTCTGGCTGCCAAACATCCTCAAGGAGAATTTGTTGACCCCCGGCTGGAGCATGGCCCCGAACTGCCTCTGCATGAAACCGGCTTGGCCCAGCCTCTGCTCCTCATCTGGGGTGATCTGGTCGCACCCTCCACCTCCTTCCACTTTGATGGAAGTGGAGGAGCAGGCCCGGGGGGGCTGCTGGGGCTCCGGGGGGGATGCGGGCGGTGGGGGCGCCGGCAGCCCCTGCTCCAGCTCCCCACTGCCGGGGGGGCTCTTGTCCTCGCTGGGGGAGGCCGGCTCCCCTTCGCCGCCGATCAGCCTCTTCTCCTCGGCCGCGTCGTGGAGGTGCCTGCTGGTCAGCGAGGACAGGCTCCCTTTGAAGCGGCGGCAGTCCCCGTTGGTGCTGGTCTTGGCGCCCTTGCCGCCGGCCTCCGTCTCCAGGAGGCCGGGGTCTCCCCCTCTGCCGGGGTCCCCCCCGAGGGCCCGTGTGCTCCCAGCAGAGGGCGAAGGCAGTGGCTTCAGCCTGATGCTTTTCCTCCGGGTGTCCTTGTCGCTGTCATCCTCCTCGTCCATGATCGACGCCTTGGGTCCGATCTGCTGGGGCAGGCTGTAGAGCCTCTTGCGCATGGAGGGGGGCAGCTTGTCCATGGCCGATGCTGCTGCTGCTGCCGCTCAGTGAGAGGGGAGAGACCCCCGCTCTGCCCAAGGAGGGGAACCGGCACTGCCCCCAGGCCCCTGCCCCGAGCTCAAGGGGCAGAGGGGACCAGAGACTGGCGTGTCATCTCCTTACCAGGCTGTGGCATCCACAGGATCTGCATCAAAACACAGCCTCTGAATCCAGAAGGGAAGGGAAGGGGAAAAAAAATAAAAAAGAGGAAAGGCAAAAAATCCCCCCCTTCTCCTCCGTTGTCCCGATTTGGCTACTTGCTGCTTGTCTCCCCTTGGTGAGTGTTACTGCAATCCCCGTCTGCTCAGATCCTGAGCACTGGGCAAGAAGTCTAGAGGAGAGCCACACACTCCTGGCTGGAAGGCGAGGGAGGGCGGTAGCGGCAGCAGCAGCCGCCTTGCCATGTTGGCTTCGAGATGCAAATGTGCCGTGTCTCCCGGCGGGCAGACATCATCCGGAAAGCGAAGCTCAAGCCCGGGTGCCTCAAACTCCTCAACCTGCCGGCCAATAACACAATGAACTGCAACCTGCAGCGGCCACTGCTTGCTTACATCACTGTCATCACTTATTCCTCATGCAGCCCCTGCTCCTGGGAATATTCATGAAGCGATCCCATTCTACTGGGTTGCCATAGGAGCGACTACTGCACACAGGCTCTGCCTACCTGAGACAGCACCCGGGCTTCTTAAAGGGGCAACGCCCGGCGGCCGCGGGGCTCCGCCGCCGCTCCTGCGGGCACCGGGCGCTGCGGAGCCGGGCAGCGCCGGGCTCCGGGCCAGCCGGGGCTTATCGGCCACGAGCACCGGGCCGCCGCGAATTTAAAAATAGCAGCATCACAAACATGAAAAAAATAAATTAATAGGAGCGAGAATATTCCTTTTCTCTTAGATGCGGGCGATCCCTGCTCCTCCTGGAGGTGTGGCTGCTGGAGGGCAGGTTTGCTTGTGTAGGAACGGGGGGTTTTGTGGGAAGGGGCGAATCCAAATCTAAAGGGAAAACAGCGGTTCACCTTGAAAATCTCACTTGCATGCAAAGCAGGGGCTCGGGGAGCGCCTGTCTTGCCTAGCAGAAGTTTGCCTGCTGGGAACACGCTGCGTTCGCACCCGTCCGCAGAGTCCCGAAGGGTTGGAAGGATCTTTGTTCCTTGGCTGCCTCGCTCCCCGTTAGCCATGCAAACCCGGTACTATTCCTCCCCTGCGGGGTTGGATCTGTAGAAGTCATTAAATAAAAAAATAAAAGCAAGCCGCATCCCCGAGAGCTCCCCCGCTGGATTGAGGGAGGCTGGGCTGGGCTGGGCTGGGCTGGCGGAGGCAGTGGGATGCGTGGGCTCTCCCTGCGACGCGGGGAAACCCACTTCCCAGTGGGCACCTGAGTCAGCACTTCCTGCGGCTCACCCGCGACCGGCGCGTCTCCGGGGGACGCTCCTGGGAAGAGAACAGATCCGCATGGGAATCCTCCTGCCTTCACTGCTGGCCACAATGCACCTCGTGTCACAGAGGCCACAGCAGCTAAAATCAGACATTTCCTTTTTGGTATTTGAGAGGGGCCTTTTGGAGAAAAGGAGGTAAAGGGGTAGCAATCAGCCGTGCCCGTGCTTATTTGGGAGTGGCTGCTAATGCTGTGATGTTTAAGACTGATTGGTTCAAATTATTTCCTAGTGTCAAGCCTTTGAAACCCATGGAGTTAAATTACGAATCTCTTTGGCCATGTGATAGACTTTTGTCTGTATTTTTGTGTAGATCCAGCATTGAGGCTTTCTAAAATATTTGTTGTTTCAGACATTTAAGATCCCACCTGCTAGGAAAAGGCAGGGAGGCTGAACACAGGCAAGGAATGCCGACTGCAAGCAGGGAGGAAATCCTCATCCACCGCTGCACTTCTGCTTTCCTGAGCAAATATTCACCTCTTCCCTCCCAGGAGTCACTCGCCATAGGTAACTTCACCACTTAAAGCAGCAGATTTCCTTTAGGAAATGCCATGATCAGCAGTGACTTCACCACGCACACAGACAGCACATGCTTCCTCATCTTTGTTTGCCTGCTCTCTCCTGAATCCTTTCCTGATGTGTTCACCTGCTCCTCTTCTCCTCCCACCTCCTGGCACAACCCAGACTGGCTGTGACTCATTTCAAATACTCTACAGTGCAGCTACCCAGTGCAAATATTATTTAATATTATTACTTTTTTCACAATTTCTGATAGAACAAGCATTTCTGGGGAAATAAGTCTCAATTTTCGAATGTTCCTGTAGATCAAATAACGTGGATTAGGCCAGTGAGAGCAATAAAGGTCTTTTCCCTTTTCTTGCTCCCTCCTCCAGGCGCTGGGGAGGCTGAGGTGTAAGCACTTCTGTTCCTCAGCTGCAATCAACTGCCTTCCAAAAGGATGTGTTTTGATTAAGGAGGTGCAGAACATCTGAAACTGATGCAGCTTCTTAAACACAGCGCCTGACGTTCCCAGAGAATGACAGAGCAGTAAAGGACGTGCTCAAGGAATCGAGCTGTTTGTTCTCTTGCAGCTATAGGTATTGCAGTGCTCGGAATATCCTCAAACTCTGTTTGTTCCGTGGCCTTCCCGGGATGTTCCCAGAGTCCTGCCTTGCTTGGTGACACAAATCAGACCCTCTGACAGAGAACACAACAGGACAGCCGGGCAGCAGAGTCCTCCTGCATCACTTCTGCAGCAGGAAGGAAACGCTCAGGAGCACAGGCTGAGTCAGGGCCTGGCACTCTGCTGCACCATTCCAGAAGCACCCAGATATCCCTGTGCCTGGAATTCAGGCTGGCTCTTCCCAGCCACCACTGTCCAGGCTATATACCACACATACAGACCACAGGTACCTTTACATCTCTCTATAAAGCATTAAGCTTCGTGGAATCACCCAAGGTGCTCAATCCAGAAGGCACATTCTTGTTTACTTCTGTCTCCAAGTTCGGGTTCCTAAACACTTGGAAAAGCTTAGAGGACTTACAGGTACCAAACTCAGAGGAATTTTTCAAGGCCTTAAAATGTAATGACAATTTTGTGTCCAGAGGACTTCAAAGTAATGATATTTGAGAGCCTTCCAAGAACTAAGTGCAGGGAGATGGAAATTATCCTTGTCTAATGGTATGAAACTACTATCATGGACATAATTTATTGCCAGCATTATGGCAGTGCTTTCCATGTCAGCAAATGCACCTTTATAGACGTATTTTTAGAATATTTCGGAAAAGCCAGGCCTGCTGGAGGTCTAAGTCTTGCCTATCACTGGCTCACAGTACATTCAAAGGGAGTATAGAGAAGTCACCTGTCAGGAAAAGGCAGAACTGTTTTTGAGGAAAGTTATCTCCTTTTAAGCAATATTTGTCAGACTCTGCTCCAAGACTTGGCATAGATACAAAGGGAATGGATTTAGGAGGGAGAACGCAAGTGAAGCAGCCAAAGATTCGTTTGTTTCTTAAGGAATTTTGCCAGCTCAGATATATATATATATATATATATATATGGAACATATATATATGGAACACACACATATATGGTGCTATTTTATTAAAAAGCCAGTGCTGCAACGCAAATGTGAAAAATGACATTCCAAATGAAGTCAAGACTACAGAAGAATAGACTGAGAGCCATAAAATCTGATATCCTGTAGCTCAGGGTAAGAAAGCAGCAGTGCAAGCTGGTCTTTTAGGACCACCTTTGCTTGGGTGAGAGATTCAGCATCACCCTTGAACTTCTAAATTCTCAGATGAAAATGGAACCAATGAACATGTGGTATAGCTTGGAAGAACAGGAGCAAGTCCTTTCAAAGCTGCCTATTGTTGTTAGCAGGCAGCAAGTAACTCATAATTGGCATTTGAAACTCATGAAATATTCAACACTACAAAAGAGGGAAATTCTACCTTAGAGTTTTTGTGGTAGAGTCTGCACTCACTGCCTCTGCAGCTTATATGATACCTAGAAGATAATGAAGAAATAATAATGATAAATACACAAATCCTATCTCCCCCTCAGCCCTATTAATTACCCAAGTGTGCTGTCAGAGTGTACTCATTGAAATTCAGGCCAGGGCTTTCTTACTGCTCTGTGGTGTTCCTTATGGGAGCTGCAAAGTGGGGGACTGAACTGCTGGAATGTGCTGAGGCCTGTTCAGGGCACAGCCAAGAGGGCACCTGAGCATCTGTCTGGATCAAGGAAACAGCTGAGCAACGGGAAGTGAGACCCAGGCTGGGATGCTGGGCTGAGGGGTGCCAGCCCACGGGGCAGGGGGATAGAGAAGAGTCCCACAGAGCTGAATGTCAGGATGGAAGCGTCCAGCTTTGCTGTGCAAGAATTGCTTTGGGTTTTGAGAAAGAAGTCCATCAGTGGGAGCAGAGAGACACTGAACAGATCCCTGACAACAACGGGCTGTGGAGCCTGGCAAGAGAGGAGGTACACAACAGGACAGAGAAGCTTCTATCAGGAAGTGCTTGGAAAGCAATGTTCATTCCAACTTCCAGTGGTAAACAAATCTGGAGCAATCCCACTCTCTTCACCCTTATAAGCAAGAAGAAAATATGAGCACTTGTGTAGGATTTAAGGGGGTTGCTGGAACGTGCTTACAACTAACAAACAGCTTTGCCTTCGGACTGCAAAAAGGAAATGTTATCCAAAGAATCGTCCATGCTGGTGTCTATGGAAAGAAGTCACAGACTCTGCAAAAATAACCCCCTGAGATTTTGAGGCTGTTGAGATGTTTTGCAAAAGCTGGTAATCCTTGCTGGAGCAAGCAGCTGAAAATCCTAGCTAGGAACAGATTGATTAGCATGAGCATCTTGCCACCTGACCTTTAATATTCCCCTTGGAGAACAGAAACCTTCATAGAAATAGAAAAACAGATACAGGTAGCCACATATGGAGCTCTACAGAAGAGAAATTACACAGCTCAGATTGCTGAGACTGGAGCAACTATATGATTTAGTCACAATTACTTCTAAGTTTTAACATTTTTACATTATGATCTGAACTCTACCCATGAATTCTCTACTGTTCACACTGAAATGTTCATATTCAGCTTGCATCTTGGAACTTAAGTAAAATTTCCCTTCCAAATGTATATTCCATCACACTTCCATTTAG